TACCTTAGGTGGTTCTACGAGACACATTATTTTTTTAAAGATATACAGCAACGTAAAATATATACAACAGGATTGCCAAAACATAGAAAATGGGGATAAGGATAGGAATAAAAGAGGCGGCCACAAGGTTTTTGCACCTCGATGTCATTCAACCTTCATAGACTTGCCAGCGGCACTGGTGTGGGATTGCCTGCGGCTTTTTCTCTCCTTATTTCAAGAATTTACACCTATTTATACTAAGAACTTATACCTCTTTTTCCGCCTAACAATGCACATGCACTGTACAAAAGAAACATTGTGCAGATACTGCCAAGAAGAAGAGGAGACCGCAGAACGCATTTTAGGTGTTTGTGGGGTCTTTGCAGGTAAAAAGTTATCTACGTATTTGAAAATTTGTGCCTATCTAAATTAATTAAGAATTATGTCTTGTACGAAATTACTAAATAAAATGTTGAGATAATAGGTCGTCCCGTTGGGTATTGCGGACGACGGGACAAGCCACTACACGATCCATTATTTATATCATTATCAGTTAAAAAGTCATGGGCTCTGACGGGATTGGAACACAGAACCGCTAGAAGAATACAGAGCACAAAACTGACTCCTAAAGGCCAAATAAGTCTGGAGAGTGTTTTATAAGAGGTTAGTTTGTTATGAATGCTTAGTGTTGATTTTCCAATTAGGTGTCTGAGCAGTCCATATCTTTCGTTAAGCTCTTGTCGTTTTAATCCTGTCCTATAGCCTGGGTTCTGTGTAAATCTTGTTGGTTATGTGCACTGGTGGGCAGGTTTGAAGTAACTTCTTACTTACTTAACTTCTTCGCCCGTTCAACTTTATCCTCAACCGAGTGTACTGTAATGAGGTTCAGATGTTGTTGGATTAATTCAGTGGCTAGGATAAAATTGGATTGTGTTGACATAGTTGGTTAGATGTTTTATTGAAATGTCAGCAGGGTATATGCATATAGAATTGGACCAAGGATACTTCCTTGTGGAACACCAGCGTTGATTGGCGTGATGGGCGAAAATTCATAAACACTACATATAAAAATACAATATATATAAAATGTAAATAAAAATCCGTTAACAAAATATATCAGAGTGTACATTGAAAAACTTAGTTTTAAAGTGTCGGTTAGTAGTGTACAGTGAATCTTTAAAAAAACAATTTTGATTTTACCGGTTTTCGAAACTATTGTTTGTTGCTTTGTACAATTTCCAACTAATGCACGCAATTCAATCTGATTTCTGATAAAATTGTTACAAATCTTACAATAAATAAAAATTTCCAAAATAAAACATTAAAATTAGTTAAAAAGGTTCTTTTGTCTTGAATTAATTTTTTGCGCATATATTCTTTTTAGAAGATTTTTTCAATTTTTTTTTCTGAAAGTAATAATTGATCTTATATAAAAATTACATCTTTTATTTTTAAAATAAATAATACTGTATTTTTCATTATTCAAATCATTTTCTAAGATCAAATAAGACAGCGAATCCACGCCTTTAGTTATAAAGCCAATCATCTGCCAATTTCACTTTTCTGCCATCTAGTGAAACTTCACGTCTAATCGAAGAATCGTCCTCGTTTTTTTTAATAATGTATTTTTCCGTCATTATATGAGTTCGAATACATATGCCGTTTCGTTGTGGTCAAGGCGATGCGTCTTGATTCTACCTTCATAGTCTGCGGTTCCCACTTTCACCGGTGTCAAGAGTTCGTCAGCAATGTTATAAAAGGGGGGTGGATTTTTCCGCAGTCGTGCCGTGCAAGAAGAGCCCAAATTACATGGAATTACTCCAGTTGGGATAAAAAGTCGAGAGCGTGATAATAAATCTACATACCAAAAGGGAGGAGTGAAAACAACCAGGCGTGAAAGTGATACGAGGCCCGGAAATGAGGCGGAAAATTCATAAAACCAAAGCTGGGGGAAAAAAAGATCATATCAAAATACAGTAGGAAAAAAACAGGAGATCTGAAAGCGTTGGTTTTTGACAAGTTAGTATTATATTTTTACGAGATCGTTGCAAAAAAGGCGTCTCCGCAATTTTCATCGTTTGTGGTTTTACCCGTTACAACGCCTGCTTTTCTTGCATCTCTTCAGAAAGCCAAGAAGCTCACAATGTATGAGTTGGAAAAAAAAACATTAACATACATAAAGGAAAGATGAGTATTTGTTACAATCCGGCAACTATCATACCAATACAAGGAGCGATAAAAATCGCATCCCAATATAACAATAGCTCTAAGGTGTAACAAATTTCTATACGTTGTTTTTTAGATAAATCATTGAAACTACTGCTACTAAAAATAACAATATTATATATTTCTTCTGTAAACCGTTGTCCTAAATAACCTGATTCCATGTTATACTGGTACCTCTTCTTCAGTCCTTTCACGAAAAAATGAGCCATAGATAATCCACAGGGTCGAAGGTCATATCAAATGGTTATATTATTATGGGCTTAAGTTTAATATTATCAGATCTTAAATCTTTTACCTAGCAGGTGTACTAAGTTAAACCAAGCTGGAATGAATTTCAGACAACCAGAAACCGAGTCACATATAAACTTAGGTCAAATTAACTACCAAATACAAAGATGGTTTTTATCCTAGCTGGAAACTTACACGGCCATAAACCGTAGTTGCATGTACTGAGAATTGTTGAAACAGATATACTTTCTAAACTTCTAAACAGATATACTTTATTTCAAATGATGTTCTATTAAATCCAAAGGTAGTGTAATTTGACACAGTGAGCAGGAATAATAACTCCAACACTGGTCCTAATATGTAGAAGCAGCTTAGCATTAGGCTAGAAAGCAACATGGCGTAGGGCAAAATTGGTATTCATACCAAAAATAAGGAAAAAAGACCCTACACTACCCAAATCCTACAGACCGATCGGCCCATCCTTTCTGCTGAAAGCATTTGAAAAGCTGAAGTCAACTATATAAGAATGAAAGTGCTGATAAGAGTCAACATGCATACAGAGCAGGACGATCAACAGAAACTGTTCTGTACCCGTAAACCTGAGGGAAACACTAGAAGCAGAGGAAATCGCAATCTACGACTTCTTCGATACTGAAATAGCCTTTAATAATGTATCTCACGCATGCGCGAAAGTCTCCCTAGAGAAAAAACACGTAGATCGCACCATATCTAGATGGACTAGATAGTTAAGAACAAGAAAAGCTGAGACAAACATAGAATGTTTGCCATTACAAATGTTGGACACATTGGAAAAACATATCTCCTGAGTACGACTTTGTTCGGTGACAAAGTCCGTTAATCGGTATGGAGTGATGCTTGTTTTCCAACGATTTTGTAGTGGAAGTTTCTAAGTTATTCAAAGCTAATTGAAAAAACAACCCGACACGCCTTCATTCTTGAGAGATTTCAGAGAATTTACCGAATTCTTATGAATATTCAAGATGTTTTGGAGGCCTTGATATGTCGGAGAAGTCAATGGAGTAAAATTCACATCCATTATATTTAGAAGAAGTGACATTTAGAATATTGACCAAATTATTTCTTGCAATTAAATAATAAATTTTTATGTAAGGTTTTGGTTGAAATGAAAAAGTTAGTGTCACGAATGGGATTCGAACCCACGACCTTCGGCTCAATACGCAGCTGCACTAACCACCTGAGCTATCGTGACTTCAATCCACTCGGACACCACCTCCCCATCTCAAACGTAAGGTTTTGGTTTAAATGAAAAAGTTAGTGTCACGAGCGGGATTCGAACTCACGACCTTCGCTCAATACACCGTTTGACTAACCACATGAGCTATCGTGACTTCGATCCATCTCAACCTACAACTTTTCCAATTTTCCCTCCTTTTTGCCATTTTTCAAATGTCAGTTTCACAGTTCCATTAAGGTGCATCGCATATCAATGCGGCAAGCAGGCGTTGTTCTGGAATCTGTCCAACAATGTCTTGTACGCGAGTCTGTCATTTTCAGGTGTGAAACCAATGGAGGAAATGACAGAAAGCATCTTCAAACAAGATCTTAAATATTGAACTTTTTCTAAAGGCGTTAAGCTTGCATTTTTGTATACTATCATAAAGGCGAAATTTGGCCAATCCTCTAAGACTCGTGAAAACGAAAGAAGCCGAATACGAGGCAAATCAATAAAGTTTTGTGCTGTTATGGGCTCTTTGATTTCAATTGAGGCTGAGTTACCAACATGTAAATATAGTTATCGAATGTAAATCATGATTTCCTCAAAGGAATCCTGAGATTCATTTACCTTAAGTTTCAACTCTTCACCTGTTAAAGTTGAACTGAATTTTAATATATTGTCTTGTAATTCGTTAAAATCCATTTCCAGGCGTTCAGCATCTAACGATTTAAAAGTTTCGGGTACCTTTTGAGCTCTACCGAAAATTTTTTCTCGTTTCGTTTTATGGCATTTGAATGTCGTTTTATACGTTTTTGAGTTTGAACACTCCCTTGGGCTTTTCCGTTTCGTACGCTACGATGAAATTATTAAATATTAATGAAGAAATTTTGAGTTTGTAAAGGCACAGTCGTACCTGTTTGTGCAAAGAGGATGAACTCAATCAGTGGGCAGTATGAAATGAATTTGAATCCTGCCCTGGAGGGACCAATGGCCTTATGGAGATTTTTGTCGTAAAATGCAAAAGGGAGGAACCAAGAGAATAAAGGTTCACCCAGGTCTGAGGATTGGTGGACGATGTGGTCTCTCTCCCTGAAAGTATACTCTTGGGTCGTCCCTTGAAAATAAGAAGTCCAGCCTGTTTGAATGGAGAGATATAATGGTAGTTTGGTATCAACGTCGTGAATGGAGTTGAAACTAATATTGAGAAGAATGAGCACTGAAGCATTCGAGATACAGAGGATACTAAGAGATTTACTAGGGGGGGAGCCTTTGGCGTTCCAAAATAATTGAAAGAATTGGATTTAAAACAAAAATCAATTAAATCTAACAATTTTTTATTAAAATATATACATATAAATAAATATTTGGTTTAAACAATAAAAGCTATTAAAAAAATTAGCAAAATAAGATCATTTTTCTTAACAATTCACTTCTTATGTACAGCCAGTTTCTATCTTCCTCCTCGCTTTTATTGCTTTGTTGAGGCGTATTTATCTTTGTGTTGGTAAGGGCCGGAATATGCGAGCTGTTGCTGCGCCGCAAAACCTGCTGCTTGAGCCAACGCCGGCCCGGTCGGCGATGCGTAGTGCTGTTGGTACTGAACGGGCGAATGTCCGAACTGGGGCTTGTACATCATCGGGTGGAGAAAGTTATGGGCCGGCAGGAGCATGAGGAACTGCCCGGATGGATGGGGTACGGCGAACATCAGAACCATCGGGTTGTGCATCGGAGGAGGCGGGTTGTAGAAAACGTACTGGGGTTTTGGCGCAGGCGTCGGCTGGTAGTAGAAGGGCAACTTGAACTCCTGGTACTTTGTTTCCTGCCTTGCGGGATTGAAAGGGTTGAGTACCATAGGGGTGTACTTGTGATCCTGCGAGTACGTGACGTCCGGCGTGTACTTTAGTTCTCCGGGGACTGAGGTCATAACAAGAGGTGCTCTTTTTTCAGGCTTTGCTTTGTCATCTTTCACGGCGACAACTGGGCTCGATTTGCTCTCCGTCGCTTTGTTGTCTCCCTCCAAATCCGCTGCCCACCCACTACAAACCACCTTAAACAGGCAAATAAATTATTAAACAAAGATGAAACAATTCAAGATAGTCAAGAAACTTTTTTTTACTTTAAATATTTATGTTACTTTGTATACAATTATAAAAAAAATCAAGCTGTACATTTTAAAAAATTACACAAATGGATGAATGGACTAACATCCATCACCATGTACCTTTAAAAAATAACAAAGCCCTCTTGACTATGGTGCTAGTGCACGAACTATGATATAATCAGCGTATAAATTTCCTAAAAAATTGCATGAAGTGATTATACAAAGAGCATTTGTCATTAGCAAACCCACTTTTAACAAATTATAAATAAACGATTAAACATAGATGACCTTCACCCAGTAGATGCAATCATAGCCAATTGATAAAACATTAATATAGTAAACCCAATAGAGAGAAGGGAAGATCATCAATGGGACTATACAGAAACAAATATAGTATAATAATACCTAGGGTTGAGTAAAAAAAATGACATACTGAATAATAAGCATGGCTACTAGCAGTCTGTTGAGTTATTTGCAAAATAAAGCTTGCAATTAGATATATATTATCAATGAAAGCAAACAAATTAGAAAAATATAAGTTATATAGCCGAAGTAAGGATGAAAACTAAAATAAAATAAGGAAAGAGAGTAGAATTAAAAGACACTGGAAAAGGCTGGGTATGTAGGACAGAAAAACCACTCTGTACTTTAGCTCTACTCAGAGCCTCTTCACGATAAATGTAATTTATTTGGAAGCTTTTGGGGTCGACGAGAATATCTTGAATGTAGGGATGTTTTATAGGAAAGGAGTATTTTTGGCTAGAACTGCCTATTGCCTGATCCTGAAGATATTCTTTCTAATTATCCCTATATCAATAATTTTAAAGAGGTGATCATCAGGAGGGCTCAGAACCTTAGTAAAAACCGTATACAAATGAGGGGAGCAAACGGGATTCAAGGGTTAACTATAATTTCGGGAAGATAAATGGTAAACTGAGAAGTTTCGTCCCAAAACATCTTCGAAATTTTTTTTAAACTCGTTATTGAACCTTATGGTTTAACTTAGGTGTTTCATCACCTTCGGAAATTTCATTTACAATCTAAAAGACAAACAATCAACTGTAAGCTTGGTTTATGGTCGAGGATACTAGGACGTGGGGATTAAGTGTTCCCTAAGAAGCCTTGTGGCTTGAACTTTTACTGCTTCCTCAATTCAGTTTGATTGACAATTTTCTTCCTTTAAGAAGGAAACGGTTATTGACTTTTGTTGACAAAACTCCACAAAGATTCTTCGCACTGAATGATAACATGGTAATAATAATACGTTCTTCCTACTCATTGCATAAGCTTAAAAAAGGGAGTGGTTTCTATATTGACAAAGGATTTTTAACATTTATAAACCATGGGTCTTTAGGGTCCATTGTCTGACCCAATTCAAAACTATGTTATACATTCGATCACATTATACTAATTAAAGATAATGGGCTTTTACAGATCGACTTCTGGGCAGTTAATCTTGTTCATTAGCAAGCTTTATAAGCAGAGAGGTCCATACAAAAAGGTTCACCCAAAGGTTTTCATGTGATCGGTGTCTTAGGGCGGGGCATTCCCAAACTGTGAACCAAACGTCAAGAAAAAGGGATAACTATAAAAATAATCGTAGAATGAATAAATAAAATTAAAAAACTAATAACAATGAGTACTAAAAACGAAAGTTTTTATTTTGCAGCAGTAGTCATTGTGTGACATGCTTCACCTATGAAACAAATGCCAGCCTTTTTTTTTAACAAAATTTCACAACTATCGCTCGTTAAAGACGAAGTTCACATTTTCAAAATAAAAATCCAGTTTTGCGTTGAATTCGTTGAGAAGGAAGAGGTAGGGGGTTTTCCTGTGTTAAATGATTTTTTAAAAGAAAACAAACTGGAGCTTGCGAACGACACCTTGATCGATGAAATATGTGAACAAATTCGAACCTGAAAGATGTCCTTCATCACAACAGCTCGAGATGCAATGCTGCAAGACCATGAATGGGTGGTCAAACGGTTTTCACTTTCAACAAAGCCAATTAGTCTATCTTCAAGTAAATACGAATATTTGATAGACATTACTTCAGACTCCATCTTGAAAATTACATACTAGTCCGATTCTTAATCCCATTTTTGACTACGTCTGGAAAACAAAAAATTTCAACCTTACGTTGAAAAAGCAAAAAGTGATCTTCTTCAATTTGCCACAATATATGTGAATCCGGATTTTCTATCTATACAGCCCCCAAAATTAAATACCGAAGCTATCTAGATGCTGAACCCTACATCCGTCTCCAGCTATCAAAAATTAAACCCAACATATCCAAATTGTACAGACTAAAACAACCTCACTCTTCCTATTAATTCATTATTCATTATAAATTAACCCTTGAAATTGACTCTAGTTTTACATACCTATTGATTCCATTCTGTCCAATTAAGATGTTTGTATTCCGGATTTTGTATATAATGTTAAGTGTCAATCTAATGTTCGTTTTCATAGTGATATCCCTCTCCATCTCCTTATTAGAAATGGACTGGCTATTGCTATATTCAAAAAATTTAATTTATTACATCTACTATAAGTATCTAATTTTAAATACTTAACTGTGAGCGATTTTGTTCTGTGAAAGGGTTCCGCTGGCTAAAAGGTTGGCGAAGCCCTGTCTTAATATAATCATCTGTGCTTCATTGTTACGATCATAATGTTTAACACTTTAGAATGGTTTTTGGATGATAAATTTATAATGAAAAGCACAATGATTATTTAGAGTTTTAAAAGCAAATACATCCTCGAAAATGAAAGTGTTAACGAACGAACAATATAATAATAAAAATTACATGTTTTTATGTATTTTTAGTAATACGATTGGGTTAATTAATTAATTGACAAGTTATAAATGACGAAAGAGAGCCAGATTGCTCAGAATTTATTCAATTCAATATAAAATTTTTAATGACAATGTTCATCGCGATTCCCTAAAATATTATTGAAAAATAAAATAGTGGAAAAAATAAAATATTAAGAAAATAAAATTCCTATACATGCATGCATTCAATACCGATTTTTGAATGCACCTGTTTTAAACACACATGTAATGTGCGTTAATGAAAATAGTATAAAATACACAAATGTGTGGTGTTTAGTGACCGTTAGCCAATGGTTATTTGCAGATAGTGAGATGAGGTTTGGTGAATTTAATAAAAATAAAATATAAAATTTTAACAATGTTTATAAATCCCAGTCCCTGAAGATGATCTCAACAAAGATCGAAACGTTGGAACAATAAAGAAAATGTTTTTCTAAAACCTACGTCAAACCAGACCGCATATCACGATCTCCAAATAATCATAAAATATTCATTTTGCTTGATTAGACGGACCCAACTTGACGTCTGCCTTCCGTCACATGAAATAATGTTAGGTTCCTAGTCACTGGTAGATTTTTTATCCTCTCGTATGCTAATCGAAAACCACCCCACATCCGCCAACTTGCTACTGCCTCCAATACCAGCAATTTCTGGCGGAACAAGAAATCCCCCTTGCTATCTACTCTTTTTTTGAAACTTTCCCACTTGATTATCTCTGTTCCTCCAACGTCCAACCACCAGAAGTTCCTCACCAATCAATTTCCACTACTGGTCCCTAACAAATTTGCTATTCCCGATCCCCTTTCTATTTCCAACTGGTCCTCCTTCCCTCCATACATTGAGAAGGCATCTGGTAGGGGCTATTGCGAAGAGGCTCTAGCCATTTATTCAGATGGTTCCAAATCCGACAACGGTAGCTAGTTCCTTCTCAAAACAATTCAAACTTTCCCGCATTGCCTCCATTTTCACTGCTGAAGCCCTAGCAATGCTAGAATCCCTAAAATATGCCCAATCAATTAATCCCCATAATCTTATTATCTTTTCCGACAGTCAGAGTGTCCTATCCGCCATTTCCAATATCCACAATTCCAACCACCCTTTAATATCTCATATATTTAACACCACCATTCAACTAACCAATAGAGGCAACGTAGTGCACATAATTTGTACTAAAGGCCACAGCAACAACAAATTTAATGATGAAGCGGACCGGCTGGCCAAATCTGCGGCCTCCGCTGGCATTCCCTGCTCTATTATCTCCCCTAGAGATCTTAGAGCCCACATAAACAGTTACTGCAGGCTCCGTTGGCAAAACGAATACTCCGCCAGCACAAAAGGAAAATTGTATAAATTCATCCAACCTATCATTCCTACCTTCCCTTGGTTCCGATCTTACAATAGTCCTCGACATTCTCTCACCTCTATAATTCGGCTTCGCCTAAACCACAATTGTCTTCCCTCTATAAAATAAATATCCTAGACTCTCCTTACTGTTCCTGCGACCCCTCGTAGCTGATTCCAACCATATTTTACTAGCCTACCTCCATCAACCGACAGTCCCTCTACAACACTCTAATTTCTAATAATATCCCTCTTCCTACCTCAATATCCGTTATACTCTCTTTTACCCGCAATCCCAAAATAATTTCCTCTCTCTCTAAACTTCTATCCCAAAATAATATAGTAATATAGTATAACAAAAGTATACATTTCAATCTTGAAGTTTAGAGACTTGGCCAATATGCTAGACCATAAGGCCCAAAAAAAAAAAATAATGTTATGCTAATTTAAACTTAAGACTTTACTTGATACCAATTAACTTTATTCAAAACGAAATAGCTAAGCTTTACAATTTAATAATGTTTGCCACATGTAATTCATTGACTGGTGAAAAGAAATTTAAAGAATATTGACTAAATTGTGCCTTAATCCAAGTTAAATAATAACCGCTCTGCAGAAGAGACTTTTTTAAAAAGGAAGTTTTATTGTAAAAGATTACAAGAGTGGAACCGACACTATGACGACAGAACGCAACATTAAGAGTGAGTCCCCTCGTAGTATTAAGTATTAAACGTATTAGTTTAATTAGTTTAATTGGTCTAAGGGC